GGTGTACGTTTGGTAGAGTGGGCCTTTTTACTCCAGTATGCGTGTTCAGTGGCTCTCATTGGTATTTATGTATTAGTAAGATTTGTTGCCCTCTTCATGTTTGCCCGTGGTTTGGGGCGCTTGCCCGTACGGGCAAAAAATAACATTTAGGGTGGCGCGTATAGATAGGGGAACACATCGAAATGTGCATCGCATTTGCCGCGTACCACCGTTGCTGGCTTCGCGTACTTCCAAATGAACCTCACTCTAGCGCGTACCACATTCGCAGGCTTAGCTTAAAGCGTTCTTACAAGCTATGTATTTCCATATGTAACTGCTACTTTTCTGATACGTTTTAATATATGATACATACGAGTACAAACAAAAAAGTAGCGTTTGCATATGCAAATACATATCGTGTAAGAGCCCCGTTACCACCTTTGCAGGCTTCACTTACCACCTTTGCAGGCTTCACTTACCACCTTTGCAGGATTCGTACAGTTTGAAAAACCACGATCTAGCCTATATTAGTTGGTTTGTTGTGTCCCTTAACTTTACCACAACAAAAGGAGACTAGCTGAAAGTAGAACATTTAAGGGCCGTTTTCTAATGTAAGCAGTAAAGTTGGCTTTACTAACAGGGCAATTAAATTGTTCCTCACTTTAAAGTGTTTTCGTTTTCTTATCTTACCGGTAAAAATAAATTTGTTATTCCGTAGAGTGAAACTTCACTACACTTCCGAGAGTGAAACTTCACTACATTCGTCATAAAATTTCAAAGGTTAGCAATGCAACATAAGCAAATATAGAGCAAGAGCAACTGTTAACAAAAACCAAAACCTTGGTTGGAATATCTAATATATCTGACTCATGAACCTAAACGAAACCAAAATTTAAAGTTGGGTTCAAATTTTTAAAGGTTGCATCGGGTGAGCAACAATTTATCGATTCGATAAATTATTGCGCTGATGAGAAAACGAAAACTCGTATATCGAGAGGATAAAGTGGCCGATACTCTAAAGGTTAGATGAGAAAACGGCCCTAAGTGTTAAAGAAAACTGTGCAAGGTGGTGTATGTGTGTATACATAGTATGTACAGTAAGCCATATCACGACATATGAAAGAAAAATGTTTAGAGTGTGTCAGTTTTATTTAAACACTTATTTCGCGAGAAAATTTTGAATGTAAACAAGGCACTAAATCGCGTATTTTGCTACAACTTTCTTATTTAATATCCGATTTTTAAAACCTTTATGTCGCTGAAAAAGTCGCGCTCAGGACCATAATTGGCCTTCAAAACCATTTCAATTTATACCTTCACTAATTTTGGAATTACTATCCCTAGATTTTTATTTTTATACTATAAATCTAAAGCCTTCAAAAAACGTTGACGACCTTGCTAAGAAGGTTAGGCTCTATTCAATTTATTCATAAGCGAGGCCTTTTCGGTGACATAAAAATTTAAAAAACCGGATAGCAAATAAGAAAGCTATTGCAAAAAATGCGTTTTACCGGTTTTTAGCGGGTGCACACAAAAATCTTTACACTCAAAATTTTTTCTTGACATAAGAATTCAAATAAAACTAACACACGCTAAAAATTTGTTCGTGATACGCCTTAATGTATAGCTGTCCTACACCTGGGTGTAGTTCAATGAATACATTCACATACATACATATGTACGTATTCCTACCACGGATGCCAACTCCCCTGGGGCTAATTCCCCGCAATTCCAGAAAAAATTCCCCTATTCTCGATGAAATTCCCCTAAAATGAGTTTTGCCACATTCAT